AAGTGCCCACACGAAGAAACTGGAGAATAGTCACACTAGAGAATTAGCAGCACAACTGAAAGCTCCAGAACAAAAAGAAGCAAACTCACCCAGGAGGAGTAGATGCCAGGAAATAAACAAATTGAGGACTGAAATCAATAAAGTAGAAACAAAGAAAACAATACAAAGAATTAATGTAAGGAAGAGTTGGTTCTTTGAGAAAATCGACAAGATAGATAAAACCTTTATCCAAACTTACCAAATGACAGAGTGTGAACATGCAAATTAACAAAATCAGAAATGAAAAGGGAGACATAACAACGGACACTGAGGAAATCCAGAGAATCATCAGGTCATACTTTGAAAACCTGTACTCCACAAAATTTGAAAATGTAAAGGAAATGACAATTTTCTGGATAAATATCACTTACCAAAATTAAATCAAGAACAGGTGAGCAATTTAAATAGACCTACCTCCCCTAATGAAATAGAAGCAGTCATCAAAAGTCTTCCAACCAAACCAAACCAAAACAAAACAAAACAAAAAAACCCAGGCCCAGATGGTTTCAGTGCAGAATTCTACCAGAAAGGCAAAGAACAGCTAATGCCAATTCTCCTCAAAGTATTCCACACAATAGAAGGGAGAAGGGTCATTGCCAAACTCTTCTTATGAGGCTACAATTACCTTGGCACTCAAGCCACACAAAGACAACTAAGAAAGAGAACTACAGACCAATGCCCCTCATGAAAATTGATACAAAAATACTCAACAAAATACTGGCAAATCAAATCTAAGAACACAACAGAAAAATCATCCACTATGATCAAGTAGGCTTCATCCCAGGGATGCAGGGATGGTTCAACATACAAAAATCCATCAATGTAATTCACTATATAAACAAAATGAAAAAGAAAAACCACATGATCATCTCACTAGATGCTGAAAAAGCCTTTGACAAAATCCTTCATGATAAATGTCTTGGAGAGATCAGGGATAACAGGAACATACCTAAACATAATAAAAGCTATATACAGCAACATCAAACTAACTGGAGAGAAATTCAATGAGATTCCTCCAAAATCAGGCTGTCCACTCTCTCCATATCTCAATAGTGTACTCCAAGTTCTAGCTAGAGCAATAAGACAAAAGGAGTCAAGGGGATACAAATTGGAAAGGAAGAAATCAAACTTTTACTCTTTACTGATGATATGATAGTTTACATAAGTGACATGAAAAAAATCTATCAGAGAACTCATAAAGCTGATAAACACCTTCAGCAAAGTGGCAGGATACGAGATTAACTAAAAAAAATCAGTAGCCCTACTATATACACACAATAAATGGGCTGAGAAAGAAATCAGAGAAACATAAGCCTTTACAATTGCCACAAACAACGTAAGATATCTTGGGTAATGCTAACTAAACAGGCGAAATATTTGTATAACAAGAACTTTGAGTCTTTAAAGATAGAAATTAAAGAAGATACAGAATATGGAAAGATCTCCCATGCTCTTGAATAGGTAGGATCAACATAGTAAAAGTGGCAATCTTGCCAAAAGCAATCCACAGATTCAGTGCAGTCCCCATCAAAATCCCAACACAATTCTTTACAGACCTTTAAAGAACAATACTCAACTTTACATGGAAAAACAAAAGACCCAGGATAGCCAAAACAACCCTGTACAATAAAGGAACTTCAGGAGGCATCACCATCCCTGACTTCAAACTCTATTATAGAGTTATAGTCCTGAAAACAGCTTAGTATTAGGACAAAAATAGACAGGTAGATCAATGGAATTTTACTGAAAACCTTGATATTAACCCACATACCTATGAACATCTGATTTTTGACAAAGAAGCTAAAATTATACAATGGAAAAAGGAAAGCATCTTCAACAAATGGTGCTGGCATAACTGGATGCTGACATGTTGAAGACTGTAGATAGATCCATATCTATGGTCATGCACAAAACTTAAGTCCAAATGGATCAAAACCTCAACATAAATCCAGCAACACAGACCCTCTTAGAAGAGAAAGTGGGAAGTACCTTTGAATGAATTGGTACAGGAGACAGCTTCCTGAACATAACACCAGTAGCACAGACAGTGAGATCGACAATTAGTAAATGGGACCTTCTGAAACTGAGAAGCTTCTGTAAGGCAAAGGACATAGTCAACAAGACAAAAAGGCAGCCCACAGAATGGGAAAAGATCTCAAGGATCTAGAGGAGGGGGATGGAGTGGTTTGGGGGGTTGGTAGGATTGGGGGGTTGGGGGAGGAGGGGAGGGAAAGGGAACTGAGAGTGACATGTGTAAAAAGTTAAAAAAAAAGGAAAAAAAGTGGGACACAGAACTAAATAGAGAATTCTTAGAGAGTGGGTTAGGAGAAAGAGAAAGGGAGAAGAGGAGGGAAGAGGAGGACATGAGGGAGCTGGAAGATTGAATTAGGGGAACAATAGATTAGAGCAAGAAAAGCAATCTCATACTAGAGGAAGCCATTATATGTTTAAAGAGAAATCTGGCTTTAGGGAAACGTCCAGAGGTCTACAAGGATGACACCAACTAACAATCGAAGCAATAGTGGAGAGGCTATCTTAATTGTTGTTCCCTGATAGATAATGAGATTGATGACTACCTTTTATACTATCCTAGAACCTTCATGGAAGCAGAAGCAGACACCCACAGCTAAATACTGAGCTGAATTCCTGGAATCCAGTTGCAGAGAGGGTGGAGTGATGAGCAAAAGGGGTCAAGACCAGTCTGGAGAAACCTACAGAAACGGCTGACCTGATCAAGGGGGAGCTCACGAACCCCTGACTGATAGCTGGGAAATCGGCATAGGACTGACCCAGACCCCTTGAATCTGGGTGCCAATTAAGTGGCCTGGACAATCTATGGGGACTCTGGTAGTGGATCAGTATTTGTCCCTAGTGTATGAATGGATTTGGGAGCCCATTCCACGTAGAGGGATACTCTCTCAACCTGGATACTAGGGGGAGGGCCTAGGCCCTGCTCCAAATGATGTGACAGACTTTGAGGATCCCCAATGGAAGGCCTCATCCTCCCTGGGGAGCAGGAAGGGGATGGGATGGGAGTCAGTGGGGGGCAGAGGAGGAGGGGAGGGAGAGGGAACTGGGATCAACTTGTAAGACAAGCTTGTTTTTAAGTTAAATAAAACATTTTTATATTTAATTATGTGTATGCTTATATGTCTGTGCATATAAGTGGAGATGTGCACATGAGTGCAGTTGCCTCAGGAGAGCAGAACAGGACATTGGATTTCCTGGAGCTGCAGTTACAGGTGGCTGTGAGCTGCTGGACATGGGTGCTGGGATTCGAACTCTAGTCCTCTGCAAGCACGTTGCACACTCTTACCCGTGAGGCACCTCTGCAGCCTGCTTGGAGTGTTTTAAAGCCTGCTGCTCACCTCTCTCCATAACTCTTATGGCCTGGCTCTAAATGTCCCCCAGAGCTGGTGTATTGAAGACACGTTTCTCAGCAGAGCTGCATCAGACATTGGGAAGTGATTGATCCGTGAGGGTTCTGACCTCATCAATGGATGGATCCATTGCTAGATTTATATCTTAGTGAGATATCTGTAGATGCTGTAAATTTTATGAGATGGAGCCTAGTAGGAAGCAGGTTACTATGGGCACACTCTTGAAGGAGACATTGTTCCCAGCCCCCTCCTTTGTCTGTCCTGGCTGCCTCCAGGTGAGCAGCTGTGCTCCCCGGTGCATACATCCCCTACAGTGATGCTCTGCCTTATCACAGGCCACACAATAATGGATCTTGGGCGGAAACCTCTGAATTTAGGAGCTGGCTTGTTTAGGGGATTTCAGGCAGGGCACCCCATCCACCTAACATTTATACAGATCTCAGGATCTAAACACCTGTCCTCATGCTTTAGGCAAACATTTAACCACTGAGCTATCTTGCCAAGCCCTAAATTCTTCAAATCACTATTCGCTTGCATATTTAGCATTATATCATGTAGAGATGGTTTAACATATTCAAGACAATATGTGTGGCTTCTAAGCAAATAATACATCTTTTTGGGGGGGCTTGAGCATTATAGATTTGGCTTCTGAGAGGGTCTGGGAACATCCACGACATAAAAGGGGACTGTGCACACGAGGCCAGCATCCCTCAAGCCGTATGCATGCCACTCTGTTTATTGTTTGATGGTTCCATAAGTCTGTGTAATTGAGTTTGGTGACTTTCACTCCACTCCCCTCTCATACGTCTTCCTTCCTGCTGGACTCTTGTCTTTTCAGGAAGTCCAGCTTCTCTTTCATGTTTTCTTGTCTGTGGCCTGCTGAGTTTAATTAGAGCTGCCTGCAGGAGCATGGGCGGGAGGTTATTTACAGGACATCACTGAAGGAAATGACATCCCTTCTCCCACAACAGTTAGCTGCCAGTAGTTCCTCAGGGTGGTGGTGGTAGGGCTTCATGGGCCCCTTCCTCATCAAAAATGAAATATTGAGGTCCCCACTATTTTTGAATATATATATTCTTGGAGAATCTCATACATGTATAAAATGCAATTTGATTATATTCCTCCCCCATAACTCTTCCTGTATTTACCTCTTCACGTCCTTTTAAAAAATAAGCCGCTAAGTATAATTAGTGTTGCTTATATACACATGGGTGTGGACCACCCACTGGACAAGAGCAACCTACTAGGGACCGTAAGAAGGGACCAACCCTTTGCATGTAGGTCCTGTGCAGATACCCACGGCTACAGCGAGTACCGAGTACAAGGGGTAAGTCACGTCCAGGTGGCGTCTTTGCTACACTTCCCCCGTCCTCTGGTTTTCAGGCTGTGAAACTACCGTATGTGGACAACACAGGTGCACACAGCAAAGAGAATGGGACCGAGTCTCCTTTAACCTTACTACCCAGAGACACTCACTCTGAACACACCCTTTCTTTCGCGGTAGCCATCTCCCCAAGCGCTCTGCTTCTTTCTCACTCGGGTCAACAGGGAACTGCATTTCTTTGAGAAATCAGCTCTCCGAATTTTATAACAAGTGACACATCACAGCATTCCTGCTCCCCGTCCTCTCAGCCGAGGCTGTCTGTTCTATGAATGTCAAGTAGGTAACGGAATCGTGTCCTTAGGTGAGGTATGGTGGGCTGCTGGCTGGGTGAATGAATGCGGGAGGAGAAGCTGTGAAATGTTCCGGCTGTCTCCTTTTCCTTCTGCCATCACGTGGAAACGCCCTTCCTTCTCTCCGCAATCTTGGCAGGTAATTATCAGAGACCCTTTTTTAGGTTCCCCAATGTCTTCCCTTCTGGGGCACTGGTTTCTACTTTTAGCAGGTGCCCCCTTTCTCTTGGAGATAATCACATCAATTGGCCTCTCATTCCAGGGGGATGTGACCTAGAATCTGTTTTGTCTTTGAGAAATGAGGTCGCTTTCCTGGTGGAGGTGTCGGGAGACATGGGAAGCCCCAGGCTGTGTGGAAAGCTTTCTGGTCACCTCCTGTAGAGGTGGTGACCATATAGGTCAGTGAGTGATGAGGAGCAGTTCATGGGGCTGTAACCTTATGGGGCCTTTGCATTGACAAAGGACAAGATCTTCAAGGGCCTCTTACATTCAGCAAACCCCACTGTTTCTTTTCCAGTTTCTCACAACTTGACCCAGAGGTAGTATTTAAAATTGTCAAGCAACTAACATTTGAATTCCTTCCTGTGACAGTTAGTTTTAAATGCCAGCTTGACACCGTCTGAAATTAAATGGGATAAAGTCTCAACAAAGGACTGATTAGTTCAGGTTGGTGTACTTGGTATTGTCTTGATTCTTAATAATTAGGGAAGACCCAGGCCACCATGAGTGGCACCATTCCCTAGGCAGGGGATCCTGGCCTGTGTAAGTGTAGAGAGAAGGCTGAGCGTGAGTGAATGTGTATGTATTCATATCTCTCTTCTCTTCACAGGGAATACAATGTGACTAGCTGCTTCAAGTTCCTGCCTTGATTTCCCTGATGTAACCTGGCATTACAAGCCAGATAAGCCCCTCCTTCTCTAAGTTGCCTTTTGTCAGGGTATTTTTTATCACAGTAGCAGAAATAAAACTATAACACTTCCCTCCTATTCTTTCATGTGATTTTTCTACCTCTATTCTCTGTCCTTCACAGCTAGATGTTAACCGTCTGTCTCGCACACACATTGTTCATTAGGTAGAGTTGGTATTCTTGACGACGCCCCCAAATCATCCCATCTGGGGATCTTCACACCCTGTAAAATCGCCCCTGGTTGAGTGTGGCTCTACAGACTCACGTTTAAAAATACAGTATTTTTATGAATTCTTTGAGAATGCTGTGTAATGTGCTTTGACCTCATTCACCTCCCACTCTTCTCCATGACCCCTCCCACATCCGCTCACGACTCCTCCCACCTCAGCTCACCTTCTCACCCATTCTTTCCCCTGGCTTCTTATTTGTCTTCCTACTTAAACTTCCCTCTCCATTAATTCCCCTTACCCTTCACATCTCCTTTGTCCTAGCACCCCCTCATCTCTCCCCCCTCCCCACCGACGGCCCTTTTCTAGTTTCCTGTTTTCTACGGGACACACAAACCAAAGGGTCAAATATCCAAAGCATGTGACGTTTGTCTTTCTGAGTGTGGGCTGCTTAGAACAACGTTTTCCATCTCTGTCCATTTGCCTGTGGATTTCATTTTACTCTTCAGATGAATATCATCCCGTGGTGTGTAGGCGCCACATTTCCATTATCCTTTCATCGGCTGATGGAAACCCAGGCTGCTTACATGTACTAGCTATTGTGAATAGAACAGCTATAAACAAGGAGGAGCACATGTCTCTACTTGGACAACTCTTATAAAGGAAAGCATTTCTTTGAGGTGGCTTATATTTTCAGTTCATTATCATCACGGTGTGACACGGTGGCATGCAGGCGGGCATGGGACTGTAGAAGTGATTGAGGGTCCTAGTCTTGGCTTGCTGGCAACGGGAAGTGGTCAGGGACACTGGGTGCTGTCTTCAGCATTTATGAGACCTCAGAGTCCACCTCCACAGTGACACACTTCCTCCAGCAAGGCCACACCTATTCCAACAAAGCCACACCTCCTAATAGTGCCACTCCTTTTGGGGACTGTGCTAATAGAACTATTAGTAACAGTTATCTTTTTGTTTTCTTATTCTTAGCCATTCTGACTGGGGTAAAATGAAATCTCAAGCTAGTTTTTATTTGCCTTTCCCTGGTGGGTAATGAAGATGAACACTTTAAAAGAATGTTTCTTAGACATTTGTATTTCTTTTTCTGAGAACTCTGTCCAGTTCTGTAGCACACTCTCTAACTGTGTTGCTTGCTTTCTTGGTGTTTAGCTAATGTATAGTTGCAAATCCCTCCCCTACTCTGTAGGCTGCCTCTTTAGTCGGCTAACAGTTTCCTTTGTAGTATGGAAGCCTTTTAACTTCATTAAGTGACAGTTGGTAACTGTTGGTCTTATTTCCTGGGTGACTAGAGTCCTATTCAGAAAATCTTTAACTTAGCCCAAATCTTGAATTGTACTTCCTACACTTTCTTCTAGAAGTTTCAGGTCTAACATTGAGATACTTGATCTATTTGGAAATTATTTGTGTGTAGAAGAGAGAAGGATCAACTTTTATTCATATAGATGTAGGTCTCAGTTTCCCCAAAATCATTTGTTGATATGTATTTTTGGCACTTTGCCAAAAATCAGGTGGCTGCATGTGTGTGGACCTTCATCTGGGTCCTCAATTCTATGCCATTAGTCAACGTGTCTGTTCTTGGGCTGGCATCATACTTTTTTTTTTTTTAACTACAGCTGTCTCGTATGACTTGAAATCAGGGATCACTTTTTGTGGCGAGGTCATTGGAAATACCTGCTCCCAGGAGTCGGAGGCATGGACCAGTGCTTGCTAAATAAGCATGGGGACCTGAGTTGGAGCTGAAGGACCCATTTAGAAGCTGGTATGCATCTGTAATTTTCCAGGCTTTGTCTGGCTCACACTTCCACTCTATAGTCCATCACTGAAGGAAGTCAGGACAGGAACTCACACAGGGCAGGGTCCTGGGGGCAGGAACTGATGAAGAGGCCAAGGAGGGCGCTGCTGACTGGCTTGTTCCCCATGGCTTGCTCAGCTGCTTTTTATAGAACCCAGGAGCACCAGCCCAGGGATGGCCACACCCACAGTGGACTGTGCCCTCCCCCATCAAGCACTAACTGAGAAAATGCCTCACAGGCTTGCCTACTGCCCCATCTTATGGAGGCATTTTCTCAACAGAGGATCCCTCCTCTCTGATGACTCCAGCGTGTCCCCGGATGTCCCAGACATTTACGAGATTCACGAGGTCCTTTCCAGAGGTTACTTAAGCAGAAAGGACTGCTGGGGAGAGGGGGAGACTCTGACCTGTTGAGTTGCCTGCAAGGTGTGCAGGGACCCTGGGTTCAGGTTCAGAAGAAACTCAGAACAATGTGACTAACTGTGGTGCCCATTAGCATATGAAAGGGCATGCTGGCCTCCAGAACCTCTTAGCATCACAAGCACCAGCTACAGAGAGTCCATGCTGGCATCTTGGCTCCCCCCCCCCCCTTCTCCAGATCATGGCTTCCTTTCCTATAAATCCTGCCATTTGGCTATGTGGTCTTTTGGCTCTCAGCTTTCTATTTTGCTCACTCTCTCTCTCTCTCTCTCTCTCTCTCTCTCTCTCTCTCTCTCTCTCTCTCTCTCTCTCTCTCTCTCTCCTTCTCTTTTGCCCCCTTATCCCTTTAACTTGGTCCCCCCACCCCCTCGCACTCTCTCTTGGCTCTCTCTCTTTCTGCCCCTTCTCTCCGGTCCTCCCTCCCCACGCCGTGCCTCCCATGGTCCAGTTCACTCCGTTGGCCATGTTTGGAGTACTACTTACTCTCCCTGCTCTGGATTCCTCCCGATGCCTCTAGTTGTATTCTCCCTCATATCTGCAATAAAAACCTTCTCGCCAACCAACTATATCTTGGAATGGTCATGTTCTCACGTTATACCTGGGATGTAGTTTTTGTGAGTTGCCGTTCATGCTAAGATTGGCTTTTTGGTGACACAGCTGCCTTTGAGGCATCCTCACTCTTGTAAGTGACTTGTCACCCATACCCCTGCAAGGAACCCCACTAAACTAACTGGCTTATCCAGTTGGATTTTGCTGGTATTGTTGCTTTGGTCTGTCATTGGTGCCTCATCTGTAGGGAGTAGATATCTGTTCATATCTCCCCAGGAAAATTTATATAACACCCCACGAATGAATGAACTTGAAGTTAGATGCCTCCCCAGTCTACTCTTAAATGGAAACAATGGTCCAAGATGATATTTATCTGTAGGCTGGGTAGAGACCCTGGCCAGAGGACCCAGCTAAGCCATGACTAGACATGCAGGGATCCATACAGTGTACTTATCTGCATGCACAGAGGCTCTACTCTCGGCTCACTTCCTGCCTCTTCACTTTTTGTCTTATTTAAGTGCACTTGTGTCTATGTGAGCACATGTGGGCACTTTCAGGGGCCAGAAGAGGGTAGTGGAGCCTCTGGAGCTGCAGCTGCAGATGGTTGTGAGCTGCCTGACATGGGTGCTGGGAACCGAACTCTGGTCCTCTGGAAGGTCAGCGAGTGCTCTTAGCTTCTGAGCCATCACTTCAGCTGCAGTGCCTCTCCCTCGCCCCCACCACAGCGGGAAAGCCCACGCATGGTTTTGTGCTTCAAGTGGTTTTTTGTTTTGTTTTCCCTTTGTGGTTGTTGTTATTGTTGGTATGTGTGGTTGGCACACTGCGTACATGTGAGTGTGCAAATGTGCACACATACTAAGGCCAGTCCAGGAAATCGGGTGTCTTCCTATGTCACCCTCTGACTTATTGCCTGGGGGAAAGGGTCATTCCCTGAACCTGGAGCTCGACACTTCAGTGAGGCCAATGGATTCTTGGGATCTTCTTGTCTCTGGGCCCCAACCCATCAATGCTGGGGTTACAGGCATGTGCAGCCTATGCCCAGGTTCTTTCTTTTAAAATGTGTATTTGTGTGTGTGTAAGCATGCATGTGAAACAGTGTGTGTGTGTGTGTAAGCATGCATGTGCAACAGTGTGTGTGTGTGTGTGTGTGTGTGTGTGTAGGTCAGAAGACAATGTGTGGGAGGCAGTCTGCTCTTTGTACCATGTGTGCTTCCTCCTCATATGACATGACGCCATCTCCCTGGATGTAATTCCGAGATTTAACTGGGCATCCAAAGGCCGGGGAAGCACCCTGTAGAATTCACTGGAAAGTTGTAGGCTGCTTTAACTAAGGACTACTTAGTTAAATTAATTTAATTTAGTTTAATTTGACTACTGACTCTGACTGGAGGAGTAGCAATTACAGACCAGTTCTTAAGTCACCCAGTCCCAGGGCAGTTGTACATATGAGCTCACAGCGGTTACGACAACATTGACTAGACCTGTACGAGCTCAAGCTGGACAAAGTCTCAGCATGGCAGTGGAAGGAGGGAGGGGGCACACATTCCTATCCTGGTGGAGCAGTTGTTAGCATTTGATGGCTGCTGGGAGAGGCGGGATCCGTTTTCTTTAAGGCTTGGTGGATCATATCCCAAGGCAGGTTCCACATTCAAGAATATTTGGGGAACATAATTTGGACTCGATGGATTTTGAAAAACAGGAATAACAGAAAAGAGGGAACGCAAGCTTGGGTGGGTATGGAGGTGGTGGGGGAGACCTGGGGGAGGCGCTGGGGGAGGGATGACTCTGCTGGGAGCATGGGGGAGGGGTCCAAGGCAATGACTGCTCCAGATTCACTTTCCTCCATCCCTTCGACTTTCTGCACCTTCCATGGCTTGAACCCAGGAGAAGCCAGAGGATCGTGGAGCCAGTTGGTATAGTCCATGAGGACCAATGTGTCTGGACACAGAGCAGGCGAAGATGGAGGCCATAGAAGAGGAGGCCATGAAAACTCTCAAGCACTATTTTTAATGACTATTTTGCTATGAGGTCAGGCTGGAGTAGGCTTCCTGTCTTAGTATGATGCCAAAGTAGGTTTTTTTTTTTTTATTATACTTTTTTTTGAGCCCGAGTCTGACCATGTAGCCCAGACTAGCC